GTTTGAGAGGAATAAAGATTATTTTCATGAGGCGGTGCAAAATCGGGTTACTTTCTTTCCATGAACCTTAGCTCAGAGAAAATGACGATAGAGTATCGAAGCGCTCAGCAGCACCTAGGAGCATTTCAATCGAGGCTTCCTTGCTGGCTTTGAGCCGCAATCGGGTGACTCGTCTCTTTATGTTATCACTGCATCCTTGCGAAATATGGGTGACTGTATGACAGCCTTCTGCTACTTTAGTCTACCTATCTGTTGGAGGAAAGCACTGGACCATGCAGGTAATTTGTGTGCACTATCCTGTTGGTTCCGCCAACCCCTATCTACCTTTCTCTGATCGACAAGGCAAACACATGACACCCACCACGTTGGCCTAGAGCCGCTGTCAGCTTTATGGCCGCTTTCCTTGATTACATAGCTGGAAAATCCAAGAGATTAATTCTAGGCATCATCATCATGACTCCGACTTGGTTAGAGGCTCATAGCAATTGCCGTCCACCCGTTCATATTCGGAATCATCCTGCCGCGCTTTATGTTCAAGGTGCGATACAAATTACTGAGGCTGGCAAGAAGCCTCACTACGGCAGTATTCTGCGGCCAACAAAGAATGCCTTCAGCCAGTCCATGGATACCTAGTGGTGTCCACACCTGTCCGCCCTTCTTACGTATTCTCTGTGCTACCTAGGTATGAGTCGAAAATCAAAAGTAATTCGTCAGATGTATCATGTTACTCTTATGCATCGTGCTGATTCGTGTCATTTGGGTGATGCGTACAAAGTCTGCCTCGCCAGCAAGCTATGCCTAGAAACATAGCGGTTCGTCTTCATCCTGCCTAAAATTGTCTCGGGCAGCGGATGCGGCCAGAATCAGCAACCCCACCGGCCATGTGGCCGAAGCGAACCGTTTGTACAGCTTAAATCAGCCCCATAATCCCAAGGAAATGAACCAAGGGGCCTTCATTCGCTTGAAAATGAGGCTGTAAACGCAAACCGTTTGCTGTTCAAAGCGGACGAATGCCTTATCTGCCTAATTTCGCTCTTCCTTGACTTCAGTGCTTTTTCCACATCACCCGATGAGAAATCGATCCGGGCCACTGGATCTCCGCATTTTGTGTGACCTCTCCACTAAGACTTTTGTTCTGGGTGTCCTGCATGTACATGCATATTTGGAGGGCGCGGGGCGACATGCAAACGAATGGCAGACAGCAGTGCCAAGTTGCTTAGCCCCGACGTTGGAAGAGTGAGGCGCCCTGCCCGCGAATAGGAGTTCATCGTCCTTGTGTGATTGTGGCTGGAAGACGCAATCTTTGACGCGAGGAAGCAGATGATATCCCTATTGGCCATAAGTAAGAAGAAGGCAGGTCTTCTGGGCTCGATGCTTGACATCTCGGGGTATCGTTTCTGATACTGCTTGAACCGGCATCGGCCCCACCTCCCGGCTGTTGCCGAGCAGTGGGGTGTGCTCGGAGATACCGGGCCATGCCGACTGCGGAGATCAAATCAATTTTCTCGGTCGTGAAATATCAACGGATTCAAAAACTTATAGAGGGACTGGTCGGCCGAACACGAGAGTGACCTATCTGATTGAAGGCTCGGCGCTTACAATTCTCATGTTGATGGGGCGATTCCCCGCGTTTCACAGAGTTGAAGATGGCCCCACGAAATCCTTCGGCGGGGAAAGTCGCCGAAAGTCCCGTTGCTAGGAGTTTTAAGAAGCTGAGAAGTAAGCGAAATCTCTGTTGATCACCCCAAAACAACCGTGACAACATTATCGTCCCTAGTGTTGGCAGCGAAATCGCTCAATTGAAGTCAAAGTAGCGCGCCATCATTGCGTCTTGCCTCTTCCTACAGCAGATATCTTCGGCATATATTCACGAAATAATCCTTCAACCAATTGCACGAGACCGACACCATGGCATCGGGCCAGTTCTTTGACCCCTTAGTCGCACTTCGCGTCGCGCCTCTTGTTTCATCAACTTGCACCCTGCTGTTCGCTTGGGATCAGCACTTCTTCCTCAGCCTATTCAATGATACCTCCGAGCTTCGAAAGAAAAGCGCGCCTATGTTGAAGCCGTACTTTAACACCTTCTTCTCACGCGGCGTCTTTTTCGTCCTGGGCTTCATCGCCGTATCGACGAGCACCGGTATCTCAAATCTCTACAGCCAGCCAGCTGCTCTGAAGTCGCAAGGCACTTATTGGTGGTACGCTGCTGGCGCGGCGTTGTCGGCGGGACATTTGCTTTATGTTCCGGCTGTTGCACCGCACGTGAAGGCTTTGGCCGAGGCAAAAGACGACGACGACGTCAACGGAATCTTGGATGAGTGGTTGAAGGCCAACTGGTTGCGCATGGTTACCGTGGACCTTGGCGCCTGGCTTGCTTTTGGTGTTGGGGCTTTAAGCACGTTGCGTGTGTGAGCAAAATTGGAAATATAGGTGGAACATGTAAACATAATGTACCCGGTAATGGAAATGCCGTCTGGATAGAAACTCCTCCGAGGCGAGCAGCCTAGTCTCGCAAGATCAATCAAGAACCTTGAGTGCAGAAATCCCGCCAAGTTACTAGAGATTGAGGGATACTCAGTGCGCATCAGCTACGAAGTACCTTTTCAGGTGAGATGCGATGTATGAAGTCGACTTCCTTACTCATATTTCTTCAGAGGCATTTGGAACCTCTTCCTTCCGCTCACAAACCAATCGGCAAGCGCACCTATCAAGACTGCTCCAAATATTGGACCTGCGTAATTCATGTTGTCCTTGGTGACTGGCAGGATTTGAGGGAACGGCATCCATAACACAACGTATATCAAGTAGCTGAGCGCGAAGAGATTGACCGGAACGCCGACAGCTCCTAGCTTGAAGGGTCCGTATGGCGGTGGCGGGCCGCGAACTTTCCGGATTAAGAGAAAAAGGATCGGGAAAAAGTACGATACATGAAGAGCCAAAGCCTGGAGAGAAATCAGGGCGTTGAAAGCTGTGGCCGAGGCGATGTAGATCAGAGAAAGACATGTGACTATAATCCCAATGAGGAGCAAGGCATTCATTGGTAACTTGAAAGTAGGACTGATCTGTGATAGAACGTCAAGCTGGGAGCTTTGGCAGCAGAGCTAGGAGTTAGAATGACTTACATGCGAGAAAAAGCGGGAGAATGGCAAGCCCTTGTCGTTCGCGAACATCCATACTAGACGGGATACTGACGCCAACATGTTGAATGAGGCGAAGAAGATAATGACTGCTACCAGGGAGACGAGAGTGTTGGAGGCAGCTTTCGAGCCAGTCGCATTGTAGATTACGTAGATGAGCGGCAATGGGGCTGTAGAAAGGTCGTCCAGAGGTCCGATGTAGAAGAGTAAGATCGTAACAAAGACAAAAAGCATGACTGAGTTGACGACGCAGGCAAGAATGACGCTTCGTGGAACGCGTGTTCTAGCTTTTCTTACTTCATCGCCTATTCCAGTTTGATGGTCAACATCTCACAGCTGAAGGATTCGGTCTCAGTTTGTTTTCAAGGAAGCAACTTACTCATGTGTATGACGCTGTCAAATCCCGTTACGGAGAACGTTATCGTTAACAGTCCCAAACCCCATGATACTCCGGGATCATTCCATCCCGAGACGTCAGATGTAAGCGTCTTCAAAACGTAGTCGGAACTGCTGCGTTGTCCAAGGACAGCGAGAATAACAATGGAGGCCACGAACAAGGCAATATGCAAGACCCCGCCAATTATCTCGAACGCATTGAGAAACTTTCGAAACCAGAGATTAAATAAAAAGGGCAAGACGAGAGTACCAATCATGATGAGACTAGTATGCCATCGCTCTGGCGCATAGTTATCATAGTTGAAGATGGCTAGGGACGTGATGATGTTTGCCAGGATTGATGGTGGTCCCCCACAGGCGAAGCACCACGCAGCAGTAGTGATCCATCCTGTTTAGCTAGTCAGCATTGGAAACATGGCATGTAAGTCTTTTGGACTTTTGTAGTGAGATACCCTGAAGTAAACCCCAGAACCTGTTTGCGCTAGGGGCAAGATTTGCAGACCAACGATACTGCGCGCCGACAGTCGGATCTCTATTCGACTTCGTTAGCGGCGAGAATCTTGATATCTCATCAAGTCCAATGGGCTTACATTGATGCTAGCTCAGCGAGTGAAAATCCGACGGCACAAGCTCCGAAGCCAGCCAGGATCGAGCCGTAGAACATCGAAGCAGGGCCACCATTCGCTAACGCGAATTGGAAAGTTACGGCGAAAGACTCCCATGATGCCAGTATGATTACGCCGAAATTTACAACAGAGGAATGGTTAATGTATCGCTGCGAGACTATTAGACTTCGAAAACAGATGCTTGGAAGTTGGGCTAGAGGACCTCGAGACCAGATGGCTGCTGCTGTTTGCCATATTCCTCAGAACGAGTGATCAATGTCTTTTCATCAGCACCATCTATTCTGCGTCCGATCGCGTCTGCTCCAATCCTGTCGGTATCTACAACAGACGCCATTATTGATTTACGTTGCAGAATTGAACAGATTGACATCCAAGGGACGGATGAACATCAACTCTGCGCGGTATTATAAGCTTTTCTTGTGAATCCTTTCCGGCCCTCTTACCGCCTGTCTCGTTATCTTTCAAGAATACCCTAGTCCTCTTTGAAAGTTGATGTCGCAAAAAGCATGCAAGAAGCGACCATTTCTCCAATCGAAAACCGGATGTAGCGCCAATTGTGGGTTAGGCTAGCCGCCCACCGCTTTTGCCATGAATTTGAGGTAGCATTGAATCATACAGCAGCACAGCCTGGAGTAACATGGTGTTACATAGTTGTGTGTAGATTGTCTGCACGTAAGCTGACTGCTTTGGTGCCCGTGGCGACCCATCGAACTCGAGCGTACTCTTTTATCCCGATACTTGAGGTTAATAAGCCTCCAAATTCCATGGACTTGTATATATAGATGCCTGACTAACTTCATCCCTCAAGGAGAAATGTCGAGAAGTTGTAACGACACATCGCTTACCCATAACTAATTGCCGCATGATGATAGAAAAAAAGGCAATATCGTAATAATATGCCATGAAGATGCTGCAACAACGTCCTTACGCGACAAGTACTTGGTGTAATTGTGTGAATTTTCCCAAACAAGATCTTGCCTCTGAACGTTAGAGGGACGGAGATGTAGATGAAGAAGAGGAATAAGTAAGATTGCAAGTGATTTGAGCGGCGAGAGCGCATTCTTAGACGGGAAGCTCTGTCTAAATATTTTGGCGCTGTACTTGCGACGATGAAGAAAGATAGCATTGCCGCCAGCAAATACGAGGGGACTTTCTTCTGGCCGCCCGTGTATACTTGGGCACATGTTTTGATCATCTGACTTCGTAACATAGTTAGTGTCTTGACGGATCAGACTGTTAACCACAAGTATATGTCGGCGAACAGTTCCAGCGTATCTTCCCGGGGAGGACCTGAGAAATAAAGCTGGTATCGGGAGCTACTTCTTCCCGAGGCCGGTCCAGGAACTTGAGGAGAAAGATTTGAGATGTTTCGGTAATCTAGTGCCAACCGGCTGTCCACGCTTAAGACAACAAAGATAGAGGTTCAACAGTTTTCTCCCGCTGGTAAGCTCCGAGCAATAGATGCTGCTAAGCCAAGTAGCCTTAGAAACGGCCTCCAGTCCGAAGACGCGTCATCGGACGTCTGAGGCATAATCCAAGGTCATCGCGTTCCTATCAAAGAACGCCACCGGCAGGCGCGGGGCTAGATTGGTGCAACATCGATTTCGGGAAGCCGGCGACCTAGGCCAATTTGGAAAAGGCCGGGATTGTGGCAAAGGCCGACACGTGCATTAGTTTCCACCTCTTCTTTTCTCTTCCTTTCTTTTTGGAAGAGGAATCATGTGTGGCCTCCCGAATGAGAGTTGGGTGTGGTTGGGTTGGATGCCACCGGCACAGACATGTAAGCTCGGATGTCCGAGAAACTGGAGCACGGCCGGCACCCACGTTAGCGACGCCGATTGATGACCGTGAGCCGCTGAGGGAATCGTCTGCCGTACAGCCGACACGTCTTGATTATTTTGAGTCTGTTCTCATTGGCGGGATGTGGGGGGTGACCGTTTAGCCAGATCTTGGCCCAGCGTGAGCCGCCAGATTCGACACATCGATGGCGCACCTTCGATAGCTAGTTCCCGCAGCTTTCACCCTGTAGTGTTTCTTGGCGAGGCTTGCGAGGCAAAAACCCTCAATCAAGGTCTGAAACGATGATTGACGTTTAAGCCAAGCGTCTTGGAAAAACACTTCTTCCATAGAAAAGTGTTTTGCCCTAAGGTTAGTCTTGCGATCTTTCTGAAAGGTTTCAGGAAGAGTGGCGTGGCGGCATAAAACTCTCATCCTCTCTGACAATTTTCGACGGCATCTTATCCCGAGAAATTTCGTTGCAGAAAGCATTCGTTGAGGTTGGCTGAGGTTAGGATGATCGCCGACTTGAGGCTAACGTCAACTTGAGGCGTCCGAACATTATGAAATTGCCTTTACGACGGGAATCGCCATTTTCAGCTCATGCAAAAAGCAAAAAAGTCGGAAAGAACGGCTGGATAGTCATCCCACGAGGGACAAAGTTTGAGGCGTTTTCTGCTTACGCTCTCGGGCCCTCAGACGCCCTGACTTGGAGGCTGGCATCAGACTGACAATTGAAGACGGGACGCTTACAACGCCACGCAAGATGACATTTCGGACAAGCAGCTAGAGACATTCACCAAAGAGCTACCTGACACATGGGCCAAGCCGTCAACGTTCCCTGTTGGGTTTGTTCTTCTGCGCCAATGCACAGCTTTCAGTGCCCTCTTTAAGGATCATCCAGATTGACATGATTGCGGACCGAAACATCCCAACCGTGCTTTCAATGTCTGAAGCAGGCTAATGGCTCCTGCCTCCCGCTTCGGGGCCGAGCTGACGGCCATGAGTGAGTATGAGTTACTTCTGTGCATACAGAGTGCATCTTTGCCACCGATATCTTACTGTGAGTTCAGGTATAATTAGACACTTGAGATCCCATTAATGCCATCAATCATCACTCCAGCGTTCAACATTCAGTCACTCGCTCTAATACAGGCAATACTCTCGTTCACAACACTCTCTCTTTCTCTCCCTCCAGTTATCATACCTCTTCAGCAAGATGACCGGATCGAAAGCACGCATTGCTCTCACGGCACTCGTGGCCGTCGCCACCGCCTACCCCGGCATGGGACGGGGCGGCGCCGGAACCAGCCACGGAGATATGATGGCGCATCTCGCTAGCCGAGAGGGTGCCGCAGACAATCAAAATCTCGGTGATCTCCTCAAGATCCCCGACGGATCCTTGTCCGACGTCGGCAAGGATGTCAAGGGCATCCTCACGGGCTCCGGATCGCCTACCACGTCCGATGCGGCCAGCGGCAACCTCACTGAGCTCGGCAGCTCTGACTGCAATGCGGACAAGTGCTGCGTGTGGCAACATGTCGCTGCTGACCTGATGCCCACGTTCCGTGACGATAATGGTTGCACCGACCCTGCCCGCGCCGCCATCCGTCTCGGATTCCATGACGCTGCTGGGTGGAGCTTGAACACCGGCGACCTCGGCGGGGCCGATGGATCCATCGTCCTCGCTCCTGAGGAGATCGGGCGCCCACTCAACAAGGGCTTGGAGGAGATTGTATCGCAGATGAAGACGTGGTTCGCCAAGTACAAGGACCACGGCGCCGGTATGGCAGACTTGATCCAGTTCGCCGCCAACACTGCGACGGTGGCATGCCCTGGCGGACCGAGGATTAAGACCTTCGTCGGCCGCAAGGACTCTTCCGTGGCTGCTCCCGATGGTCTACTTCCAGACCCGAAGGACCCTGCCGACAAGTTAATCGAGCTGTTTGGCAACAAGACCATCACCGCCCCTGGTCTCGCTGCCCTTGTCGGGGCGCACACTGCCAGCCGTCAACGCTTTTTCGACACATCCAAGGTCAACGCCCCGCAGGACACCACGCCCAATATTTGGGATGTTGACTTCTACGGACAAACTTTGGCTGGAGCTCCTGCCGAGGTTGTGACCTTCCCCAGTGATACGGTTCTGTCCAAGGATCCCCGTTCGGCCCCGGCCTTCCAGGCCTTCGCTAATAACGCACCGCTTTGGGGCGGAGTAAGTTTTCACTTGATCCATCTGCTTCAGGAATACAGCTGACCAAATTGCAGGCATATGCCAAGCAGTATCTCCGTTTGAGCCTCCTTGGTGTCTTCAACATCAACGACTTGACTGATTGCAGCAAGGCGCTCCCCGCCGGCACCGGTGTCAAGAGATAGATGTTTAAAGGTATTCTCGCTACATTATATCTTCGGTAGACTTTTGGGGAGGCGTATATAGATTGTGGAAGTAATTCTCGGGGAAACACGATCTAAGGGACATCACAATTTGTGACCTCCGCATAAACGATACCTAGGTAGAAATACGTAATCCATGATAGATATTAGGTATATTCTTCATCCGTATGAAATTGTGAAGAAAATTGTATGCCTCCTTCAAAGGGAACGTGCAGTGGGTTTCGATGATTCCTTCGAGTTATTTCACACAATGTCCAGGATCACTATTCGAGGGCCAGTAAGCAGGCTTATCTCCGGGTCGGTAGCGCACGGTGATCTGAGTAACTCCGGCCGAGATACTCCTCGGCCCTAAGCTCCTCGGACTTAGTTTCTGGTACAGACAGCCCGTGATCTTGATACCCCCTTAACTTAAGTCTGATTCCCCATATTGCCAAGATCTACGATCCGGAGGTTACTTTACTAGTCATCATCCATTGAAATACTGACAAGGGTTGCGGGATGCTCTAGTCAGGCGACTTGAGTTATCCGCCCTGCTGGTGCTGTGATTAAGACTTGGCCCGGAGTAGCCCGTCCCTGGCTGAGCTATCATACATGATAGGCTTCATTTAGGGTATACTTTGAGCGGAAGCAAACGTCGCACTCACGGAAGTGATTAGGTCAAGACCGCTCTTTTTGGTCAAATTCCGTCCAAGACATTCCATCCACGTTATTTAGATGCGACGCAACAAACCACGATGGCGATGCTTTGAAATCAACATCTCTGTCAACCCAAATTTGAGGGGGGTGAAGAGCAGTCGAAAAACCTTGCACAGGCCAACAGAGTCTGATTCAGACGCAATTATGATACTAGAGTTGACTGATATATAACTACTAAACAAGCTTCGCATATTGTTAAGCTTTCTCCTGGTCTGTTCTTCATCCCATCGCAAAGATGTTCGTTCGACATATAAGCTTGGTTCTCTTGGCGGCTGCGCAATACACCTTGGGACACCTCCATTCTCGACAAGATGGCACGACTCAGGATCCCGCAGTACTTCTCGCTCTGGGAATAGAAGCTCTCGGCGGGCGCGAAGCAATTTCTTCCCTCCAAAGCCTGACATACGTCGGCGAAACGTGAGCTGAGTCGTAGTCTAAGTTCTGTTCGGCCACTAACAGATCGTAGCATTCTCAGGGGAAGAACTTTGATGATGGGAATATCCGTCGCGGGTGTGGATAATGCTGCCGTAACAGCAGGCCGACAAAACATTTCTTTTGCCTTTGACGAAACACACGTCAAGCAACGCATTGACAAGATCGCGGCACTTGGGCGTTAGTATTACCTTTTAAGGCTATTCATGGTGCCCAACCTAATTCTTGCCAGCCGGATGGACCTTCGGAAGAGCCAACCTCATGCCGATGGACTTTTCCATCGTTGCCGAGGGTGGTGAAAGTGGATACGCAGCTGTCACTAGAGGCAGCTACAACTTGTACAATCCCTCCGGCGAGCCCCAGGGTTACCTCGACGGTCAGTAGCAGTCTATCCATTAGATTTGATTTCGATTCTCGCCAAGGGCTAATGTTGATCATTTTCTCAGGCCTACTTGCGTCCTACCTGATTAGCGAAGCGTACAAATGGCACCCACTACTTCTTTCCACAGTATGTCTTCGTCGTGGTTACTTTGATGATTTACCTAATCGCCACATTAAGATCCTTTCCAACAACAAATTCACATCTCGGCAAGGGGAGACAGGAGCAGGAATAACGTTAGCAGGAGGTAAGAGAGGTATTCTACAAACTTGCAACATATATGATTGTAACTTGCATCGCAGTTCATGACGATACGCTCGAGTTAACAGTCCTGTTCGATCCTGCCACGAATCTCCCTTACATCATTAGATCCTACGAAGACCACCCCTTTTTCGGCGAATCAACACATGACCTTCTCGTTCACGACTATGCTGAAGTCAACGGGGTCCAAATACCTCAACGATTCAAGACCATCTACAACGGCAAGCATCTTATTGGAGACTATCGCGCTGATCAGACCATCATCAACGATAGTCTACCGAGCGACTTCTGTGCGGTACCGGGCAACGGGACTGTCCCCGAATCCAGCGTTCCAAATCGGAACGTTCAATACAGCTTCTCAGAGATTGGAGAAACATCTGCAAACTTTCTCTGGCCGGGCGCCTATACCGGAACAAAGGAGTCCATCGCAGCTTCGATTTCTCAGCCTCTTCAAGATCTACCTGGGTTCTGGACCATTAACCCCGGCGGTGATCTAGGGATGCGGCAAGGTTTGGTTGAGCTTGAGGATGGGTCTGTTATTGTCTTGGATGCTCCGCCGCATCAGAGCAAGCTCGTCATTGAGTGGGTTCAGACAAATCTTGGAAAGAACATAACACATGTCTGGGTTTGTAATATTCTAGCCGAGAAGCCTTTCTCTCCGGATCGCTGACCCTGGTACAACAGCCTACTCACCATCATCACGATCATGCCTTTGGTGTAGTAGACTACGTCGCACAAGGCGCAAGGCTCATTGTGCCTGAGCATGCCGCGGGATACTACACTACTGTCCCTAGAGAGCAAGTGGTCTCTTATCCGTAGGTCTTCAACTTTTTTCTTCTATTAGAAGACCTCAACTAAAACTATGTTCTTCAAAGACGTGGCGGTTCCTATGTGCTCAAAGACAGCAAGTTGCAGCTTGCTCTCGTTGACATGGAAGCCACTATTCACGCCGAGGACCATGGCTACGCCCTTGTTATCCCATCTTGCCCAGTTGAGACGAGCTCTTCGGCAGTTTTTGATGCGGACCATGGAAACTTGGCGTTTATTGAAACGTTTGATCACGCAGCCGTGCAGGAGCTTCTTAACTCCCTCACTCGGGACAAAGTACCAGGCAATGCGCAGTAAGTCCAATTCGACCCAGCATCTTCTCAAATGGGATCATCAGCAACTGAACAGATAGTAGTTTCTTCCCCTCGCATGGCCCTGCAGGTAATATCACAGACCTGATCAGCGTTTCCGGCTTCATGTATCCATCATTCTCTCCCAAGGAGTTTGTCCACAGCCAGATGGCTTGCTGAATGCCCTATCAAAGCTAGCAATAGTTATCGAGATTCACTAAGCACGGAGGCCCTCCTGAGGAATTTATTCTAGTAGGAAATTTCGTCCCTGTTGTCATTCTTAAGCACCTGACACTTGTTTATTCTGCTTCAGGAATGGCGGTTCTGTCTCACCAGCGCGCCATTTGTACTTGCTTCCAGGATGATCCTCAGGTAGTCGTTCCGAGCCAATAAATACTTCTCTCGCCGTAGCTCCCTGCTTCTCAACGTCGGACCTGAAAATTCCTCGTCTGCGCAATTCAGGGAGCAGGTACTCGATGATATCCTCAAAAGTACCGGGATTGGTAACGTGGGCCAGGTTGAACCCATCCACGTCAGAAACCTCGACCCAACGCTCCAGTTCATCGGCGACTGTGGTAGGGCTACCCACTATCTTGGCACCTAGACCGCCGATACTGAGGTATTCTACGATTCTTCGCTTGGTCCAAGGGAGATTATCTGTGCCAGGGACGGTATCTGACCAACGTCGGATGATGGACTGAATCCGTGGAGAGTCTGCCACTGAGAAGTCTTCATCATCTGGATATCCAGAAAGGTCAATTCCTGTCCACCCTCCGAAGAGAGCTAGGGCACCCTCGGTGTCCGCGTATTTCAGGTACTCTTGTTTCTGCGCTTCGGCCGCCCCATCTGTCGCTGCCACAATGACGTTGATGCCGAGGATGATCTTGATGTGATTAGGATCCCTTCCCTCCTCCGCCGCAATCTTGCGTAGATTATCGACAGTCTTTCGGACACCCTCCGCAGTCTGGCCGCCGATGAAGATGGCTTCTCCATGTCTACCACCAAAGCCGTTTCCAGCTTCAGACACACCCGCCTGAAAGAGGAAGGGTGTTCGCTGAGGTGAAGGCTCAACGAAGTGCGGTCCAGGCACATCAAAGTACTTGCCCTTATGGTGGATCTGCTTGACCGCGTCACTGGCAATGTACGTCCCAGCCTCGAGATCCGCCAAGACTGCATCGTCCCTAAAGCTGCCTTCCCAGAGCTTGTAGAGAACTTCGAGGTACTCGTGTGCAATCGCGTAACGCTCATCGTGCGGGATCTGCTCCTCTAAGCCGTGGTTCCGGGCCGCACTGTCCAGGTATGAGGTGACAATGTTCCAGGCTAATCGCCCTTCGCTCAGATGATCCACCGTGGAAAGGCGTCTCGCCAGCGAATAGGGCTTTTCGTAGGTCAAGCTTGCAGTCACTCCGAAAATGAGGTTCTTCGTGGCTTGCGCCATTGCTGGAACGAGGTACAGCGGATCGTTGACTGGGAACTGTGCTCCGGAGGCCAAGGCTGGGACAACGTTGGCCGGTCCTTTGTACACATCATAGGGTCCGAGGGTGTCGGCTATAAACATTGCGTGGAAACCGGCATTGTCTAGTAACTGGGCGAGCTCGGTCCAGAAAGAGAGCTTCTTGTATTGGTCTGTCTTGTTGCGGGGGTGTTTCCAGAGACCGGGAGCCAAGTGACCGGGCGTGTTCATGACAAAGGCATTGAGAATGAGTTGTTTCTTGTCGCTGGAACCATTCCGGTCTGTGGCAGGATTTGAGTTATCGGCCATGATGAGACTTTTCCAAGGTCTTGGTTGTGATGTTATGTGTCTTGCAGTCTCTGATTTCTAGCGAAGACGGCCCCTCAAAAACGGTTGTTTTGCCATTTGTTTCGATCATCAATGCCGGCTCCAAGTAAGTTTATGCTCTTATCTCAAGTCGAAGGAATGCCGATAGCGCGCATTCTTCTAACTGCTTTGATCCAATAGCCTTGTCGCGATGAGTTGTGGGTGGCTCGTCTGCAGATTGCATCATCGCACGCAACCGATTGCGATCTGCCAAGCTAGCAAACCGCCGAGCAATGTCTCCGGCAGAATCGCTTAAATTCGAACAAAAGTCTAAAGTATGTCTACCCTACAGATCCCACCTTACAGGCGTATGTTATCAATTCCCGGGCCGCAAGTATACTAAGTAATCGTAGTTGCCGACATGGGTTGAGTTCATAACGCAATGCGGGGCAGCTAAGATGTGACCAAGAACTGGGGCCTTTTGATACCGATCTCGGTTCGAAGTCAAGCTTTGCGGAGGCGGCTTGTGTTAAAGTAGTTCTGCTTGGCCTTGTTCAATGGATTCCAAATTCGAAGTTTGAGCCTCCGCTTTCCATCTCTTCGAGTCGGAAATCGACCTGCTCGCACGAAGGGAATTTGTAGACAAAGATCTTGTCACAATGTCGGTCCAACTAGGTGTATCAGGGGAGACCCTAATACCTCAGTCAACCAGCTATGGAATGCTCATAGGCCTTGGTATCGGTTTCTGTGGTGTCATTCTCGCAGCAGTCAAGATCCAAAAGGCCTACCTGGCAGAAGACTCTGGCACCTCCGAAATGTTCATGGTGGCCAATCGGTCGGTTGGGACAGGTTTAACAGCATCGGCTGTTTTTTCTTCCTGGATGTGGATCAATGAGACAGTCTTTTCAGCAGCATTCTGCTACAAGTTTGGCCTTGCTGTGCCTTTTGTGAGCGCAATTACATCAATGTTACGAAAGGCGAAGTTGTTACTGATGCTCTAAGTAGTGGTGGTCAACAGGTCTCTGCTTCCAGATTGCCTTAATGGCAGCACTCGGCGTCTTGGCAAAGATTCGAGTTCCTTACGCGCACACCTCACTTGAAATCATTCGATTAAGATACGGATGGATCGGTCACATTGTCTTCATTATCCTCAACATCACGAACAACGTTTTCGGCTGTGCTGGTATGATCCTCACTGGGTCACAACTCATCTACGGTATCTCGGGCATGCATTTTGTCGCTGCCACGATTCTCATTCCACTTGGAGGTTGGTCGCTCCAATATCTTTGAACCAAATGCAGGCATGGGCTGACTATGACCAACTCAGTCGTACTTTACACCGCGGTTGGTGGACTGAAAGCAACCTTCATCACAGACTATCTGCACACTCTCATCGCCCTGATTCTCATCATTTACTTTACACTCAAGGTCCTCACCCACGATGCTGTTGGTGGTCTTGGTGGACTGTACGACAAGGTGGTGGCCACGGCTTCAGAGAACTTGATTGACGGTAACTACAAGGGCTCTCTGCTCACGATGAAGTCTCGAGATGCGATCATTTGGGGGTTAATTCTGAAGTTTGGAAACTTGGCACTTGTCGTAATGGTGAGTGATTGCGTGCATGTGGTCATGGATGTTGATACTAATCGAAATGGCAGGACACCGCTTTCTGGCAAAAGTCATTTGCGACGGAAGTGAACGCAACTGTTCCCGGATACAACCTGGCTGCGGTAGCAATTTTTGGTATCCCATGGGGCCTCGGTACAGTCATCGGTCTCACTGCAAGAGCACTGCACAACACTCCAATCTGGCCAGGCTACCCGCATCAATTTACATCGGCACAGGTCAACGCTGGACTTGTCATGCCGTACACCATCAAAGCTCTCATCGGCGACCAGGGCATCGACGCTTTCCTCGTTCTTGTATTCATGGCGCTGACGAGCACCGTCTCTTCATCGATGATCGCAGTCAGCAGCATCTTATCTTTTGACGTCTACAAAACGTACCTCAACCCCAAAGCATCTGATAAGAAATTGGTCCACGTCAGCCATCTTACAGTGGTTTTTCATGCCGTGTTTATTACGGCTATCTCACTTGCGTTGAACTACGGAGGCGCCGATATGACCTGGATTGGCTATTTCCGTCCGATTCTCTCATGCCCGGGCATCATTCCGCTTGGCTTGACTCTGTGCTGGTCAGGCCAGACACGCCTAGCCGCGATTGTATCCCCAATACTTGGTTTCCTCACGGGATTAGGCATCTGGCTCGGAACAGCACATGTCATTTACGGCGAGATCAACATGAAGACCACAGAAGGCAGCTTACCAGCTCTTTACGGAGCAATCGGATCTTTCTTCTCGCCTGCGCTCTACTCGGTGCTTCTGTCTTTATACAAACCTGAAAAGTTCGATTGGAGAAGATTTCTTGTTGCTGAGATTGCCGAAGAGAATCAGCTGAAGCAGAGCAGCGAAAAAGAGGAGGCGAACAATGACGGGAATACTTCGTCGACTTCGGAAGGAGAACCACCCGCATCTTCCCTATTTGACCCTGAAAAGTCGGGTGATTCGGAGAAGAATACCGCCGCTGCTGCAGGCGACAACTTCCCTCCCGCGGTTTCTCCCAAAGATACCTCGCTGGCAGGTGAAGTCAACCTGGATGATGTTCGCCACCCGTTCGACGACGATACTATCAAGTTGCTCTACCGCTGGTACCGCATCGCCTGGTACATGTTCATCGCCATCGTACTCGTTACCTTCATTCTCTGGCCAATGCCGCTTTATCGCGATTACATCTTTGAGAAGACCTTCTTTAAGAGCTGGACAACGGTGGCGATCATCTGGCAGTTCTTTGCTTTCTTCGCTGTTGTTGTATACCCTCTGTATGATGGACGTTACGAGATTGTAAGAGGCGCCAAGGGCGTTTGGCACTCGAGCAGAGACCTTCTTAAGTCTGAATGACTTGCGAAGCCGGAAATGCAAGAAACTTAGATCAAGATGTCTAGATACGGCCTGTGCCACTACTATTGTTATCTAAAGTATGTCACTGGTAGTAGAACCCCAGTAACTTCGAGTGTGCAGACTCAGCTTGCGTGCTCCCGACTGAGACAACCCGGCGAGCATCGAACTCTGGTATCCAGCTGGTAGATGGAAGCCTGAAATGATCTCTAGTCTTGAAGTGTTAGTACGCTGATAGTGCGAGATGGCAATTAGAGAGACTAGTTTCGACTTCCGTTAATAACAGAGCCCTATGCTTCTACATTCGAAGAACATGGCAATTTTCTACCAGCTCTTGACATCTATGCGTGTTCTCGGCCAGTAAGTACTAGCGCAAGTCTCAAATGTGATGCGCGTTTCGTTCGAAGATGAATCAGGCCTCATTGGTTGAAGACAAAGAAGATGCAGAAGGCCGTCAACCCAGCTGTTCAAAGCAGGAGGGCGGGCAGTTACTGGCTGGCTCTCAAACATCAGGCTGCGACGATTTCTTTCAGGCTTCAGTATATTCCAAATAAAGGTCTGGAATATGCGCGAAGGCACGTGATGGCATATCACAGACACCGCTATTATCTTCATCAACCGAATCAAGACCTCTGAATTATTTCTGTATTCATGTCCCCGTCATCACCAGTTTACTTGAATTCAACCAAGATTGTATTTCAACACGGCTCGTAACATGGCGGCAGCCACCGAAGATTTCGGCAGTCATGACAAAACTCCCTCGCCGGTGGTAATGGAAGCTTCCACGACCGAGCCGCGGGTGTGTCGTGAATCAGACCAAGACTGCGAGAGTCCGGGCAGGCTCATTCATGACTATCTCGGAAAGAACTCCCCGGAGTTTGTCAAGGTCCGCGACTTGCGCAAGAAGGTTCGTAGGTAGCCCTCTGTATTCGCTGGAAGAATGCTAATCACCGGCCGCGACTCGCAGGGATGGGAGAACCCTGCAGGTGACACGTTCTTTGAGAACCAGCGTCGTGTTGCCGAAAATCCTACCGATCGGGCTACGATAGCTTTCTACAACATGATGAAGAGAATCGGCCAAGAGATGCAAAGAAACACGAGCGCCCTCAAAGTCAAAACTCCTAGCTGGGGCAAGACACAGATCCTTGACATGGGCATGGCGCCTGGCGGCTTCCTCGCGACGGCCATGTATCTGAACACAGGTGCGCAAGCGATGGGCTTCAGTCTTCCCGAGTTTGATGGGGGCCACAGGGTCATGATACCCGACAACCTTGATATCGACCGCAGAGACGTCGACGTCACCATGCTCGCTGCGGACATGGGCATCCATGACATTCCCGCCGATCATCCAGACTTTGCCAAGTTCCTCCCTCGCCAGTTCATGCCCGGTCAACAATTCGATCTGGTCATCTGTGGAGGAACAGTGGTGCACAAGCAAGAGCGTGCCTCGTATCGACATGAGAGCGAGTCTCAGCGACTGGCCACCAGCCAGCTTGCGCTCGGCCTCGAGCGGCTCAGACCCGGCGGAACCATGGTTGTACTCTTCCACAAGATGGAGGCTTGGGGCACGGTTCGTGAGCTGTACTGCTTTTCTCAGTTCTCCGATATCAAGACCTTCAAGCCGACGACTGGTCACAACAAGCGCTCCTCATTCTACATGGTGGCTACGAGAGTTCAGAGCCAAAGCCCCTTGGCCACTCAGGCTGTCTCTCGCTGGAAACACATATGGCAAGCGGCCACATTCGGGCCTGAGGAAGACTTTCATGAGGCTAGGCGCAAGAACTTGACTGATGTCGAGGAAGTACTTGATAAGTTTGGTGATCAGCTTGTGCGAAAGGGTCGGAGAATTTGGCATATCCAGGCACAGGCTCTCGAGAAGGCACCTTTTATTCAGGGAAAATACTCAACATAGTCGTGTCACAGAGAGCGGACGGAGATTGGGAGTTCTGCCTACTTTAGTACCTAGCTTGTTGACCAGAACATCGAAAATGGCGAGCGTTTCCCTGCTCATGTTGAGGTGGCTTAATTGTTTTAGTATAAGGTACTCAGAAGGCTGATGCATCAGATCTGCCGAGAACCATGAAGCGAGTGAAATATGATGGACATGTCTGAACACCGGAGCCTGGCTAAAGGTGAGATCGGGTTGGCCATTCAGGTCCTAAGAGTCCGCCCAGGCGTCGAACTATATCAAGGTCCTGCCCTTCCGGGTGTTGGACTGACAGCTTTCCATGGGCAGTATAAGTTGGTGACGGGCTTTTAGTTTTTTCATTGTGCAACGGAACAGAAAGAAAACTAAACACGCAAATACGAAAGAAAACGCAACACCAGAATGTGAATACCAAGCGCCAAACCCGGCCTCCGACTTCAAACTAATTATTCGTCATAGAGTTAATTAAACGACAAGCTCCATCTGCTGGTGCCCCGGAGAACGGTCCAGAACACCCACGTCGTTGGCCGTGCCTTACTCATTTGGCCTTGACGAATCATGTTATTCGACTTCTTTCGCGGGGACGAATTTCTTGATATCGGCGGCAGGAATGGCGGCAACGCATATGCCCAAGCTCGAAACAATGGAAGTCTTCAGTCCAACGGAGCCATTTTCATTCTCTCTTCGATTCGATATTGGAGAAGATAACACAGCAAAACTCACGACTGCAGCGACATGGCAACTGGAGATTCCCGGGGCCGTTATCAAGCCATGGCAACAGGTCGCAGATCGCCGTGCCCTACGATTGATTTGCGAAGTAGAGACTATTGAGACGGAGGATTTACACTCTAAGCTGCGACTGTTCCCGAAGACAGCAGAGTGGTAGTAAAATAAATCAAGATTCTTATGCGTCAGCATGCTTAGCTCCATAGATCCAAGAATTACTACAAAGACCAATAACGCTATACATACCTTACCTCACAAGACGTGACAGTGGAGAGCAAGTATTTCAACCAGATCAAAACAGTTAATCTTATATTAATGTGATGGCAGAAAAAGCTTCAAACAATTCCATCGCCTCTTTCACCTTGTAGAACTGGCAAATTTACTGTTTCTAAAGACTACGAATACTCAACCGACATCACCACATTACCAAACCACCACAATGGCTACGAATCGAACGAACGGATAAGCCGGATCCGAACCGGGCGAGTGTTGAACTGTCTTCCAGCAGTGCATGTCTTAAAGTTCAACACCAACCACCCGAGTCAGACTAGAACGTTTCCATGTAATCTTGATGCTGCCTGATAGAGTTCCTAGAGACGACTTGGTTGGCCAGATGGTAGATGAGAGTTTGGTTTACGCTTATGTAAGGCGAACCGGAAAGATGAGACCAGGGGCCGGGCGTCGGAGGTTCAAGATGGCAGAAGCCCGAAACGGCCGAGTGCTTTGGGGGCCGTGGGGGGCCTGGGAACTGGAGGCTGGAGCGAGCATATGATCGATCCACTTTCTTTCTCATATTACCTGCATCCCCGTCAGTCACATTTCACTTCAGTCGCACCACGCACGCTGTGTGAGGAGGTCTTTGGAAGAAACATCCTTCACTTCACTCTACAGTCCTCACGCAAGGCCGCATCTGTCGTTCGCTACCTCGTCCGTTCTCTGGAGTCACATTCACTCGCCACACGCCACTCCCCTTGCTTGCTTCTCGGGTATTTCTTTAGCGCGCCAGCAACACGGGTAGAGTCAGACCATGTATCAGCCGTACGCAGTCAATGAGGCGCCGCGGGAACGGCCAAAGATCCTCTGCCTGCACGGAGGCGGCTCCTCAGCAGGCATCTTCCAGATACAACTGATCAGGTTATCGCGCGTCCTCGAGCCGCGGTTCGAATTTGTCTACCTCGACGGGCCGATCGAGACGGAGGCCGGGCCGGGCGTACTCCCCGTATTCGAGGGATGCGGGCCGTACCGACGATGGGTCAGCGACGATCCCTCCATCCCCGCCGAGGAGTTCCAGCAGCAAAAAGACACGGCGATGGAGATGCTCAAGGTGTACGTGCAGCAGACGGGGCCCTACGTCGGCGTGCTGGGGTTTTCGCAGGGCGCGCGGGCGGCGTCGAGTCTGTTGATTGAGCAGCAGCGGCAGCCGTTTGTGCCGTACAACTTCTTTGGGGTGTTTCTATGCGGGACGTATCCGCCTTTTGTGCCTGACGACGTGCTGATTCGGTCGCCGACTGTTCATGTGGTGGGCTTGTTTGATCCATGGAAGCCGGCGAGCGAGATGTTGATTGAGCAGTGTTCTGAGCGGAGTACGCGCAAGGTTGTGAGGTATCCGGGTGGCCATCATCTGCCGAACGCGCCGGAGGCTATTCAGAATATTGCGAATATGGTGATTGACTTGTGGAAGGAGACAACGGGGGCGACGGCGTGATAGACGATGTGAGGGTATCGTCATCAGCGAGAGATCCGGAGGGGCTCACGACCTAGTCTGAGCATATGAGATGGGCATACCGTAGCAATTCGCGAGGGGTCAAGGCTGAGCGGCGAGACGGCCAACATGCGGGTGATGAGGAGGACAAGCGTCGCTCACCTCCTCCGTCTCTTCACCATTTCTCTCATCTATGATTGTGGGGGAATGAGAGAGATGAAGAAGATGACGATGAAGAAACCAAAGAGCAAGCCAATGGAGACACAAGAGGCCCTTCGGGGTCAGTCAAGTGGCTTGGAGAATGGCGGGGAATTTTGGGTCAAGACGATGACGGGTGTGAGTGAGACATCACCAGCGTCGGGATGGTCTCATTTGGAGACTGTATGCGAAGCATAACTTCGACCGAAAACGAATGAAATTGATGAGATTGGTCACTCATGTACTCATGCTCTTATGTGCTGTCCACTCACAATGAGCTGATGGTGAAGATTCTCAGCTGATTGCTTCTTGAGAAAATGCGTATAAACATGAAGTGTGAGATGGCACGTCGTCGAATATTTAAGTGAATAAGCTAAAGGCTACCATATTTCGAACTAAAGGAATTTATCATGAAATTGGAGATTTCAGTGAAAAAGAAATGAAAAAAATGTCCGAGACTGAGACTGGTGGTGTGACGGCGGGCAGGATTCAGCTGTTGAAGCGTGGCAGCGCAGCCAACTTTCCCACGCCAGTGATGTGGGGACGGCTAAAGAGAGACTAGCGTAGATCGAAGCTCCAAAGTCGCTGATTATCTCATCTGCGAACACCCAAGGCGTCGAATTGTTAGTGATCCACCTTATTGCCGGCACTGCACAGGGAATGCCCCGCTGTCGGTCGACGTCACCTGCGGCAGGAAGAGGACAAGCTCCTGTCGGACCTTCTCTTTGGTGCCAACAACAAAAACAGGGAACCCGGCCGCGCGGAGAGGAGACGAGAATGCGACGGCCGCTGCTGCACCTCCTCAGAGTCAGGAGCCGAACCTAGGATTTTTCTCCTGTTTCTTGATCCTTTGGCTTTTTGATCAATTGCCAGCTTCGATCCAGGAAGTCATCTCCTGTGAGCTCTTGTCAATTAGTTCTCGTTGCTCGACACCTGTTTCCACGATCCGATCGCGCCGATTCCTTCGATTGATCGACTATTCGTTCAAACGGACAAAGCGTTACGTGAAAGTGTTCCTGATTCCTGAAAAAACGAAGCAATCGCGGTTGTCATGGCCAACTTCAACTGGGTGTCCCGTTTGCTGGGGTGGGATAGGCATCCACGCCATCATCACGACTTCCACTCGGACTGGATCCGCGATGACCGAAGACGCCGTACGTACTCCTGCTAATCGACCCCCCTCTTCCTTTGGAACGCCTGGCTTTACCAACTCCAGCCGCGTTGTCCTTCGGCACGCCATGGAACCCCCTCAATCAGTTTCAACAGCTTACACTTGGGCCTGTTGCCCCCATCTAGTCCTGCCGCAATATCGAAGCGAGCATCTCGAGTCCGCGATCCCTGCCCCCGAAGTAACAAAGATTGCCCTCAAGCTTCGACACCTGATTGAGCTGGCAGTCCCCTGCGAATTGGACGAAGTCGAGATCACAAAGGCGCATAGCAAGATCATCACGACCAAGGTCGTCAAGGCCGCCAAGGAAGCTGGCGGCTCGCACTACGGATCATGTGTTGTCTTCTGCTTGATTGTCTGCAAGAGATGGTTCAAGCACCAGGCCTTGGCCGAGCTCTGGGACGCCGACCTACACAGAGTGCGCGCCGTCGCTTGTGAGGTTATTGCGAAGCAGATGTATGTACTTATAACGCCACTGCCCAGAGAAGACACCCAGGACACTAACAGCTGTATACAGCATCGAAACCGAAGACGACCTTCAATACCTAATGCACTCCGTTCTCCTCCGCCGATACTCTGTAGTTGTGGACGGCGAAGCCACACCGCCCGCGAACGCTATCGAAAAGGCCGTCGATCTCCACGCCGTCAGAGTCATTGGCTCTTCGGGATACCAAAAATGCATTTCATACTTGTGGAAGGGATGGCTGGTCCAGGACGAAGACGACCCTGCAGTATTCGTCGACTACAAGGACAAGACGAATCCGTCCTTCCTCGTGCACATGGATCCCGATCGCATCCGGGCTCCCATGTACCAGAACGCCACTCAGGTGCTCATCTCCCTCATCTACATTGGTCTCTACACTGCCGTTATCAACTCGGTCAACGCCAAGGGTGTTTTGGACGCGGCTGAGGTGTTGTTGTACATCTTCACCCTCGGCTTTATCTGCGAGGAGGTCACCAAGTTCTGGAAGGCCGGCTACCACATCCTAGGTTTCTGGAACGCATTCAATGGCGTTCTCTACACCTTCATCACGCTATCCCTGATTCTTCGCATAATCGGCCTTACCCACGACGAGGGTGAACCCGCGCGGAAAATGTACAGTGAACTGAGCTACAACTTCTTGGCTTTCAGCGCACCCATGATTTGGTCTCGCCTTTTGCTTTATCTCGACAGCTTCCGCTTCTTTGGAGCTATGCTAGTCGTGCTAAAGGTCATGATGAAGGAGTCAATCATCTTCTTCGCCCTGCTTGCTGTGTTGATCATCGGATTCCTCCAGGCCTTTATTGGTCTCGACTTGGCAGACGACTTGGTGGCTGATGATATAACATTCATCATGTCAGCCATGGCCAACGCCATCATGCAGAGCCCCGACTTTGACGGATTCGACAGGTTCTCGCCGCCGTTCGGTATCATCCTGTACTACTGCTTCACGTTCATTGTCATGGTAAGTCGTGGTCCTATGAGAAGATGGGACCAGTTGCTGATTTGGATCGCAGGTCGTTTTGCTCAACATCCTCATTGCGCTGTACAACTCCGCATACGAAGACATTTACGACAACGCCAACGACGAGTATCTCGCGCTGTTTGCCCAGAAGACGATGCAATTCGTCCGTGCCCCCGACGAAAACGTCTACATCCCGCCATTCAACCTCATTGAGATGATTGTCATTTGCCTCTTCTGGTGGATGGAGAAATCCAAGTTCGAGAAGATGAGCGACGTTATCATGGGAATCCTCTACTCGCCGGTTTTAGTTGTCGCCGCAATCTTCGAGACTCGCTCAGCCGCCGACATCAGGAGCAACCGAGCGAGAGGTGAGGAAGACGACGACACAATCGAGGAGTGGGAGCAGATGATGGACCAGGTCGACTTCGAATCCGATGGATGGAACAAGGTCTGCGCAAGCGCCAAGACCAACTTGGAGCACGATCCTACGATCTACGAGGTGCAGCAGTTGCGAAGCGAAGTTGAAGAGCTCAAGAAAATGTTGGTCGAGATCTCCAAGGCCGTTTCGGCTGGAAATGCCGGTAATGGTCAGGCTTCGACCAACTTGATTGATCTGGGAGAGCCAGCCGAGAGCTCCTCCAGCAAGAAGAAGAATAAGAAGAAGGGCAAGAAGAACAAGAAGGAGAAGAAGGCAGGCGATGACGCCAAAGAAGCAGCAGCGGCAGCGTCCTCCAGCTCGAGCGATGAAGAGTGAAGAGCTTTCATCTGATGATTCTGGCAGTGCTGGGACCCTGCGCCGTGTGTTTTATTGAATTGAGTTTGTACATGTTATGGCTGTCACGTCATGTCACGCTGTTACGAGCTTGTTTTGTTTCGATTTCGGGAACCATGGTTACTGGTAGCTGGCAACTTGGGATACGAGTCAGGGAGATATTGGCGTCGGACATCAGTCATGGTTTGTAATAAGGCGAGGCATCGTGTTGAATAAGGCAAATCCAATTACCAATTTCGACGACTCCAGTGGAAACGCGCACCAGGACAGGTTAGATTGTGTGAGCAATGACAACACCTGGGAAGCGATTGAATCTCCGTGACCGGCTCCGGTGCGATGGTTCAGCCGAGAACTTGTGGCTCGACATGCAGAAGGGCCCCATTATCGTCACTTGGCGGTCATTTTCTGCACCGACTACATGTACGAGGCACAAGTGCAAGCGCTTGGGGGAGTGAGTTGTCCCGGTCGCCGGCTCGGGTGCTAGGCGAGGGTGGCTGTGGTGCAGAGAAAATGCGGAGGAGATGGGAGTTTTTGTTGGCCCGCCTGCAGAAGAACACTAGGAGAACCTTAATTTTGGGTGCTTGGGTTGGGATGAGTCTTCTTTTGACCTCCCCAGCTGGGAATAACGGCGTGGGGAAAGCTGACTTGGTGTTGGCTCTAAACAGGGGCTTGGGCTTGTGTCGTTTATGGGTGCGCAGCTTGATGGGCTTCTGGTTTATGGATCACAATCGAGACTGGAATTCACTTCTTCTCTTTTTTCATAATTCATGCCCTCTCGTATGGTATGAAAGTAGTCAAGTTATCCTCCTCAATCCCGAAAGATGAACCCCTGGATGAGAACAAGGAGGGGGAGAGTGAAGGGCTGGGACGAGCGGCATCTTCAAGCTCAAGACGTTTTAAACTTTTGCGGCGCCAACAGAGCCTAAGACGGGCCCCGGTCCAATCATCACCCCGGATGATGGTCGCGACAGGGTTATGCTGCCACCCCAACTCTGGGAATGGAACGCTCGGCACTCGAAGCGAGAAACGCCAAACGTTGTTCTGGGGAGGCCACTAATGAGGTAGTGTGTATCCACTGGGTACTTTGTTAGAATTGGATACTAGAGACTTGAGGTAGATACGTGGAAGGGGGAGAAAGTGAAAGGGGATTAAGCTTGCCGTACCTACCGGTAATCCTTGGAGGACCACAACTCCCCTCCTATCATCCAAGATCCCCCTGTTTCTGTTTGGGATGAACGAGGTTTGGCCATTGTTTCTGGTCTGGCTTGGTTGTAGATGTGAATGGTTGGTTCGGTCGAGGGGGCTGCTTACTGGCTGACCAGCGACCAGCTTTCCTAGGCGGAACACGGCTTTAGCGGCTACTTATGGGGGCTGAAAATGATACAATCCTGTTGTGTCTTTTGTCAACATTTTTGTACGTTGGATGATGTACTGCTCCCTGGCGCTTACACCACAACGGGCCTGGGGGTCACGACTATTCGAAACATGATCCGAACATTGGCGCGGGAAGGACGGGACATGTACAGCGGCTGTGTTGGATCCCGGTAGACAGTCATTTTCTTTTTTGGCTGTATGGCTACAACAGAACCAGTTGGGCACATACTGAGACTTGCTGTCATCCAATCCGTGGAAGGCCTCATTGGCTTGTCATGCTAAACTTGGAGGCGTCCTTGTCCGCCTCCGTGAGGACCCCATACTATTGTCCTAATTTAGGTCGAATTTGGCTTAGGGTCAACTCTTCTAGACCATGTAGGTTGGTAATGTCGCTGATGCCGCGGCCACTGTCAGCCCAAAAGAAGACAAGAAGAAAAGCTTGGACTCGAAATAGACTTATTCGCATTCAGACGAGGGACCTCTCCTCTCTCATCTTCCCTCCCATGCCCACCTCCCCCAGGATCAGCATGCGTCAGAAAAATGCTTGGCCTGCACGCTTGTTCGTATTTGTTCCCACAACCACTCCCCTGATCCCTGGCCCTTGGCTCTGGCTCTCTGACTGCTGCCACCTCGGATGTCAGATACACCCGGCCGGCTGGGGCGCGGGTTTGGGGATGGAGACTATGCCACCATGGAAACTATCCCATCCGCGAGGCGAAGCTTAATTGTGATTACCTTACGCTAATTGGGGTGCTACCGCCTAGCCGAATTTTGTTGCTTCTGGTCTTGGTAGGTAAGTCGAGGTGGGGTCTGGTGCCCAAGGGTCAATTTGCTTCCGAGACGGACTTGCTGAAGGAGGCCGCCGCCACATGGTTTAGGGACTAAGGCTTGGGAGTGATGGGATCAAACGTGGATGGTGCCTGGGGGAGGTGGAGGGGTGTAGGCTTGAGGATGGAGGCTTGGGATGTTCCAAGGGGCGTAAAACGTTTGAGGGTCGTGTTTAGTGTTGTTTCTTGAGGATCTATCATCACAAGGTGAAGGCTGCAAGAGGATCTACGTGTATAAGAAGACAACGTCCCTCCCGTGAGATTTGGATTTGGCTTATCATCAAACAAAACAAGTCTTCACATAATACACCAGCAAGCATCAACTACTCTACTCGACACCACCTAGTCCATTTTACAACCTCACAGACCCAAAATGCATACATCATCCCTCCTCGCAACACTCCTCCCCGCCGCAGGAGCCTTCGCTCAATACGGCTACGGCGCACAAGAATCCTCCACAAACACCGCCTCCGCCGCCGCCTCCTCCTCCTCCAGCATTGCCGGCGTCCACGTCGTCAAGGTCGGTGACGGCGGCCTCACCTTTGAGCCCAACAGCGTCACCGCCGCCGTCGGCGACGTCGTCGAGTTCCACTTCTACCCGCGCGCCCACTCCGTCGCCCAGTCCGCCTTTGACTCGCCATGCCAGCCGCTGACTAACGGGTCCACGACGGGCTTCTTCAGCGGTCCGGTTCAGGTTGCGTCTGGTGTTGGGTCCGAGGTGTTTACTGTTGAGGTCAAGGATACGAATCCTAAGTGGTTTTACTGCGCTACTGGGCAGCATTGCCAGGGCGGTATGGTCGGTGTTATCAATGCTCCGTAAGTCTTTGTCTTCATTCAGAGTTTTGAAATCAAGGTTGCTAACTGATTTGATAGTGCCAGCGGTGCAAGGACCATTGAGCAATACGCCCAGGCTGCCGCCGCGGCGCAGTCCAACGTCGCTCCCAGCGCAACCGGCGGCGGCAGCCTCGGCTCCGCGGCCACCGGTAGCCCCAGCTCTGTCTCGAGCTCCCCCTCTGCTTCATCCTCGTCGCAGCCCAGCGCTGGCATCGAGGCCCGCGGCGACGTCCGCTGGGGCCTGCTCAGCTTGGGCATGGCTGCCGCTGGTGTTGTTGGTGGACTTCTCATCTAAAATCCTGCGGAGTGATTTTGTTTTGAGTAGGCGGGAAAAGATTGGGAAGGATTGCGGGATCACATTTATACCAATTACGCATTAACGGTTGGGGTTTACCAAAAAGAGACGAAAGGTTGGGTTGGATGGTTGCAGGGCCTGGAGCTTCTTCCCATTGAATGGAATGAGTGGTTCGCCCACTCCTTCGATATACATAGTACCATATTGCATGTTTGCTACTTTATGACAATTTGAATTTTGATCAACAGCAAATGAGAGAAATCATATTCCGTGCCATACTAATGCTTGGGTCGCTAAGAGGTTGTGCTCACAGCGGGACACGTGATCCGTCCCACATACGGTATTCATATCCTTGGACCTCCCAGAATTGAAGAGACTCTCTCAAAGCGATTAGCTTTTGTTTCTTCATGTTCCTCCCCAGTTATCTCTTTCTCACCGAGATCTTCAACAATCGAACTTGTCTTCATAAAAGACAAAATCGAAACTTGCCTCAAGTTGGCCTCCATTTGGCCGTTGGGCTGCTCGGCATTCTTTTGCCGAAGGTTCTTCTATGTCACTTCAATAGATCTCTCTACGACAGCCTCGGTACGGAACAGGTGGATGAATGTAGTTGGTACACCGTCTTCCATTCCCTTTTCCACCTTAAATCCATGCCCTGCGGGCATGTAATCTTCAGGTTTCATCCAATGGCCGCTGAGAGCCTTTTCATCCCGATAAATCCAGAAGTTATGTTGCGTGTCGAATCCACAGATCAATGTGAACTTAGTTCCATTGCCAGACTTGACCTCCACCTCTCCTTCAAATTTCCAAAGCTCGCAGCTCTCAATAGTATGTGTGGACGGGATCCAAGCAGCAAAAAATGGTGAGCTCCAGCGCAGCATTACATGCAATTTTGGCTGCTTATCGTCGATGCAGAACTTGATATTACGGCCAGGATTACGGCCAGGAATCCACAAATCCTCTGCCTGTAGGCCCATATTGAATTGCTTAGCGATGAAGAGAACGTTCTTTTCGAATGGCCGGCTTTCGGATGCGCAGCTGCTAGCATAGAGCTTGTCCGGTCTCGTTCTGACATAGCTCTCATTGCTGAGCTGATAGAGCAAAATGCCCTGGAATTCATGGATGGAACCTTCAATCTTTCGACAACCTAGCCCAAGAAATTAAAGAGCTCTGTCAACTGCGAAAAGCTTGGATTCAAGGCGGAGACCTTTGTTTGTCATCGAAAACTACGGGTGTTGGTGTATACATGTTAGTAAAGAGATCTGGTTCGGATAATTCTTGTGATTTTGAACGGACCTCTGGGCCACGCCTTGGATCGCTTAGAGATGTTAGATTGCAACAATCGCGGAAATGATCCGGAGTAGTGGTGAGGATGCCACGGAACTCTTCTAAGTCATCTATGCAAGTGACTGTGGAATCACACCAAGCGAACAGTGACATGTCGTTGGTCTCCTTGATGATCTCTTCCTGTAAACGAATGAAAGCTCGGTTGCCTTCCCCATAACGCAAAGGCATACTGACGCCGAAGATGCCCAAGAGTGAGTAAGCGCGATCTTTCTCTTTCTTTGCCTTGCGATCAGCAGCCCACGACATGCGCCGGCCCACTGGAATACCGGCCAGGAGATCCTGGATACTTTCGTGCGTCGATGAGTTGTGTCTCAAGATTTCAGCGTTGACGGATGTTCGCATTTGAATTTGTCGTGAGAGGTTGAATCGGCTGCCAATTGCATTCCAATTCTTGTCGTAGAACTCCATTTTGCCCGGAGCGATGAGCTCCTGAAGGGTCCAGCCTCTGGTGAACCACACGGATTTTTGCCAAGTCATCTCCTGGACCGACATCTGAGAGATACGCGAAGCAAATCTCCGCCTCTGCATACCACCTGAACATTGATTTGATGGCTTCAGTAAGTTCGGTGAGGTTTCGCTTATCGATGCAGCAAGTGTCTATCCAGGCGTATCCGATCCCGATCTTGAGTGCCTCGGTGCAAGTTTTCTCAATCTTCGACCACCCAAGCAGCTTTTTGGACTTTATGTCGGCACTGGCCATGTCTTCGAAGGTAACCTCATCCTCATCGCTCTCCCATTTGTGAGAAAGGATAGCGTAGGCTGTGGAAATGCCCTTCACTTCGAGTTCCTGCTTTCTTGCCCAATGCATCTCCTCGATGCGAAGGGTGGAGCAGTTGAGAAGCTTCATCGTGACGTTGTGTGAGGAATGATGAGTAGAAATATTGACGACTGCCAGATGTTGTTGGTTCCCAACGATTCAGATAGCAGTTGCTTAGAATATTGGAGCCGCATCTCACGCGAGACTTGATGCGGGACCAGCTGCGAAGGGATGCCATTGACAGGGAAGCCAAATCAGCAGGCTGCGAGGCAACGAGGCAACTAGGCAGAACCAGCAGCTGTGTCTCATATCCCACACATGCTAGCCTATTAAACCTGTAGAATATGTGACATCTTAACCTGAGTGCGCACACGCGACGAAAATCTCAGCTATGACTGGACGCGCCGTATCGCCTTCATCATTTTGTCCAACGCCACAGGCGCTGAGAATAAATTTCGAGGGGAAAATGACACGTTAAGGAACTAAGGCTCAATAATATGCGATTCTCATTGAGGAACTCGCCGAAGTTGTATGCTCACTCGATCATTTTATGAGTTCTGCCGACGAATAAAGTGGACGAATGCACACGGTTTCTCTAGGGGCATGCATATTCCAAGGGTCTAATGACTCGACACGCACTAGTCCTTGCAGGAAGTAAGTAGAATCAACGTTCACATAGCATCAAGCTTATTTGAATCAGCAGGCGAAGTCTAGATTGAGTACTTCAAGGAATGTCTTATGTTACGAGTAATACTACATCTTTATCAGAACGACGAACATATCAAGCCTGGCTTCAGCTTGGAATCGGAGAGAACCGTTCTCAATAAATTGAAGTAAAGAAATCACCAACAGTCACTCATGCAAGAATATGGATTAGGCACCTTCTTACTTGTGAAACTCAATATTCATTTCATAATTTGCGCTGTATGTTGAGTTCATAGATGTTGGACCGAATGTCGTGACCAATCCCGAAGTCATGTATTTGCCCATATTAACACAACCTCTCGACTTTATAGCACCTGGGCTTGTCTTCGAAGCATGGTCTTCCATAAAAGTCTCGTTCAAGTTGGCATCGAGGCTGTGCTGTATACGATTCCTAGGACCTCCACTCGCCTTCCAGGCCAATGAAGGGCCGACTCAAACGTTGTTAGAACAATAGTAAAAAGAAAGGGAGGGGAAAGCTTGGAATCAGGTACAGGAGACCCTGATAATTTTTGGGCTCACAATTTCATCCTAACTCGCCGTGCACTTTCCAGGAGCATAGTATCCGCATCGAATCGCATAGTTGCCAATTTTATCAGGGATGTCGTAGTCTTTGGTCGAACTCCTAGCTCCCCGACAAATACCACATCTGAAGTTCGGGTTGGTTGCCGAGCTGGAGATATTCGACTCTTTGTCCTCCATCGTACCGCCAATGTCGTTTTTGCAATACCACTGGGCGTTGGAAGCAGGGATGGAAGCCATGAAGGGATCCGAGACGGTGGAGTCGTAAAAGAAAGCACAGTCCTTGGCCGCAGAGCCAGCTACCAAGGCCGCCATAATCAAAGTTGCCCAGTTCTGCATGATTGGGACGATAATAGTAGGTTTGCGTGGTGGTTATAAGTCAGGCGGCGAGGGGATGGGTTAGAAGGCATTGACTGGACCGGTTGACCTAGGATCGCAAAACTGCTATGCGGTTGACCATACCATACTTTAATACCTGGCCTTCAATAACTCTTTGTGGCAAGATCTCGTAGCCGCCGTACGCTGACTCAAGATGCCCGTCGTCGCATCGTTTTAGGGAGGATATGATTGTCTTCTAATTCATATATCTAGTATTACACCCCTCGGCAAAGAGGAGCAATGTCATCTAAAAGAGTTTGTGACTTAGTAATCACGAGTCAGATGTGGTCCACCTAGTAATAAACAATGCCTTAAACAAGTATTGATCAACAAGTATTGAACTACATCGCGCTTGGGGAGCATCTAAAAGCCTCCATAAACCGACTTCTAGTGGGACCGACCTGGGAGGTGTGTTCTCACGAAAGCGTTGATGGGAAAAGCCCGTCCGCCGAGAGCGCAAAAGTGGCAAATAGCATTGCGTACCCACCAACTAATATGCAGGCGTTATATTCCATTCTAGTTAACTAGCCTTCCCGCATAGACTTCCCTGAGCGGTGTTTTACGAAAGACAGTGTGCTAAGTAAAGTAGTCTCTTCACTCCTCCGTAGGACTCAAGGAGTATGTCAAACACCCAATATCGCGCGTTCCAGCAACACCTCCATTGATACCTGTCGGCCCGAGTTAGAAAGACATAAAGGCCACCCGTTTGGTGCATGATAGGATCCCGCGGCAATCACGAACTTACAATCGGTCCAAAGTTGGTAGAATAATTGGCGACATCCAATTGTACCCCCACCCCAAGGTTCCTTGGGATTCTGCTCCGTTACGGCAGGCGAGCACTGTTCTCTCCAAGCCACGGTATACTTCAACTTCGCGGCATTAAAATACTTCGAGTAGTAGATCCGGGTTATTGCCCCATGTCCGGGTGTCACGACATCAGGTAAGACCTCATTGCACATAGCCTTGAGTCCCTGCTTGACTGTCACTTCGTGGACATCTTTGTGCTTCGGATAGTCACCCTCGCTGTTGCAACGCAGTTCGCCTTTGCGAGGGGCCGTGTTGGTGATTTGGTACGAGTACGTCCCGCAGCCAGCATCGTATTGGCCCTTTTCGGCCATGACGTTGCCTTCGCCTCCCGTGTGCCCGCCTAACGTGTTTTAGTCAATGCCATCCAAGGAAGATTGGGAGATGGCATGGACTCACATGTGTTCGCAACTGTTTTGTATGCGTCTAGGCAGCTTTTCTGGCAAGAGCCTGCGTCAAATACCATGTTTGGTTTCCAATCGAGATTCACGATGTAGCCCTTGTACGGGTCGAGTGTGACTGGCGGAGTTCGGGCCTGCAGCTTGGCTTCCTGATTGTTGCCACTTATGTCGACAACCCATGAAAGCGCTTGTGAAGCCAGGGCGTCGACTTCCTGGCAGAACTTTGCTGCCACATTGTACTTTGATCCTGCAAATGCATCCCATTGAATCTCGGCAGGTTTATCCATGGCGCAACTTGGGTTGGCAGATGGGGTCAAAGTCGTTGTCGGGACTCCAGTCTCTGCTGGTGGAGGTATCCACGCCTTCGTCGTTACTGTTGTAATGGGCGTTGATGTCTGACTCCCTGTACCCGTTCGGCATCCGGACACGGCTCCACACGATGTTTCGCAATATTGAAACATAATGCCAACGCCCTCACACGACGCCTCACATGCAGTGCTTCGTGAACATCTAGACATAGTAGTTGCTGAGGCTGAGGCGGGCGGTGTGGTGATAGTGCCCGACAATAGCTCTTGCTTGATCGGATTCTTGTCCCCCAGAGGTAGATTTTCAATGAGGGTGTTATAAGCCATCATGAAGACAACTTCGCCAATGCCCTGAGCGACGCCTTCTCCGACATTCATCAGCGGGGCGAAATCTCTGACGAAATTCGTGACCACATGGGCGGCATTGGCGACATTTCCAGCGGTGAAAGGTAAGGTTGGGGGATTCATGAGAAGGAGGTCGTCCAGTGGGCCACCAGGAGTTGCCATGCCAATGGCCCCTTGAGCACCACATATGGCGGATCCGAACTGAGCAGTGCGTTTACCATTGGCGTCACTGTCAAACTGCCTGCCATCAAGGCAGTCGGTAGACCTTCGTATAATTTCTTCCAGCCGCTTCGCTAGTCCTTCGTCCATGGTGACCATCAGATCCCCTGGGGTATTGCCAGCAGTAGCGGTGGCAATTGGCGTGATAAAAGGTGTGGCAGTACTGGATAGAGCTTCGTCAGTAACATCGTACATGTAGCGCATGTTAAGACTATCTTTTCAGGAGAATCACCCTTCTGGTCTGGTTGGATCTGGCACAGGGGTGAGTGTAGCAACGCCCTTCCCTTCTGCAGATAAGACAATCGTTTTCGTGTCCGCAAGACCAGCCGCGCTACTAGCCGTTGTATCAGGAATTATATGGTCCGCAAATTGAATGCTTGGCTGCTCGGGATGCTTGAAGCTCCAGGCCGAAAGGAGCAACATAGCAATTATTGTGAACGCGGAGCCCTTTGACTTGAATGTCTTGGAGAGGAAATGCCCAAAGTGGCGACGTTCAATCTCGGCGTCGATTGCAAAGTTGGCCGATTGAATTACCTCTCGTACCTCTTGGTAGCACTTGTCATCAGTCTTTTCGCAACCGATCAACGTCTTCCGGACTTCGTCCTGAGCATCAGGTGACAAGGCAACATGGAACCCTGCACCCTCTTTGCCCGACATCCAGATCACTTTACCACTGAGATCTGGAAGTTTTCCCTTTGAAGAAATAAGGTATCAGCTTTCTTAGTTGGACCGGCGGACAACAATGGTACTCACATTTCCTTGATATTGACCGAGTTGTCCAAGATCGAAAACCTTTTCCTCTTGGGTCACAGCCAAGACTGCTGCAACGATGCAGATCAAAAGGCAACGGACGACTGTGGAGCCCATATCAAAGAAATCTCTGGGTAGAACCAAGATAAGAAAGCTATTCTTCGCGGTGGGGTTGTGAAGAGAGAGAGGTTTTCTCGCGTTGTTTTACAAATTTCTGGTGGTTTGTCTTCACTGACTTCAGAGGAGATGGAAGCGCGAGTATTTATGCCTTCTCTATCTTCCCCTGTCTTCATAATTGAATTCGTCTTTCATCTCGGAAGGACTTCTTCGATACAGTCACAGGTTCAAGCCGGTGGTGGGCTGTTGGCTTCGGCCTGAAACTTCCGAGCTAATCTGCATGTCGACGAGAGTCGACCATTAGGGCCTGCGAAGGGCATCGTCATGCCGGGGGCTTTGGGGCTGCCCCAAAACCCCCACACGATGTCTTTCAGGATGAAGCTCAATAATCACGATCCATGACTGTCATCCTGACGCTTTTGTTGGAGTTGTTGGCTGGCGAAGCACGGGCCAAACCCTCTACTTCACATTGTGCTATTTCAGCTGACCCTACCCACCGAGTTTGAGCAATGGTCAGTCGATGGCTAGTACAAAAATGGTGCTTGTG